GGCGCTCGACGGGAAAAATGAACAAACCCTTCTCGTAGTTAGTAAACCAGGTGGTGATAATAAGTTGACTCTTTTTTGGAAAGTTTTGTGCTACATATGATTAGGACCCGACGAATTTGAAGTTGTCACTTTGATGAAGCGATTAGCCGAGACCAATCTCTTGAAAAGTATGTGTAAGTATTTGTATTGTATTAGATATTCTGAAAATGTACCCTCATGACGTAGTTTCCATGAATTTTAAATATAATAGAGTCTGAAATTCATAGGGCATGCTCTGTTTGAGCAGCTTGATCCCGTTCACAGGATAGGGTTTATCATATTGATTCGTCATTGCATGTAATATTACTAGCACTGTCAACCCCAATGATAAATATGTACAGCTTTCTCCTGGGCCAAGCGTCTGAGGAAAGAGGGGCATTTGAAGAAGAACTGTGCAGTCAATCCCATGGATTCTGTTCCTTGTTTTTGCGGGAGGTGAAAGGGTCTGAGCTGCAGTAGTGTGCCATTTTTTCCGGTCAAAACTGACGGCAAGGGGAACGTGTGGAGGTGGTAACACCGTGCTGTTCTCCACCCATGCTATCCTCAATGCATTTGCGTCGATACCAAAATCCTGCAGAGTCAGGTCGCGTTCACACTTTGCGGCAACAGCGTTCTCTGCAGCGACTAGGAAAGTATAGCAGTATGATCTATATCGCCCGACTTCCCAGGTGTCCTAAAGAGAGGGAGAGTATGGCGCCATAGGAGGGTGGCAGACAGCTGATCCACCAGCAGTCTTCCACCCTCCTATCTCCCCATACTCTGCTAGTTACCTTGCTACCCTCCTATCGCGCCATACACTCCTCTCCAGGGCACTGGTGGACGCTTGTACACGCTGGCAGAATGTTTGGCAGAGCTATATCGACTACCTATACTTTCCCATAGTGGACGCTGTCGAACGCAGCCGGAAATGCTGGTGGGCGCTGTTGGTGCTGGTAGACGCTGCCGCAAAGTATGGACGTGCTCAGGGAAAGAGATCAACCAGAAGTGGAAAGGCGCGGACAAGTCGCGCGCTCTATTAGTGTTAGGCTTATGGCTGGCCGTACAGCATCGCGGGCAGAGTGGGTGCGGCAGCCGGTATCGCTATCCCTTCAACCAATTCCCGTGCACTGTTGAGCGAGAGCGTGAACACGACGCGGTCAGGCGGGCGTACACACGGCAATAAAGGATGCACAGCGTTGAGTGCACAGTTTGCTTGAAGGCAAAGCCCGCGACCACAGATTGTGGGTAACGGAACCCACATAGGAACGAAAAAGGGCTAGGTATCTGAGTAGCGGAGAAAAGCAGCAGAAAAACAGCCGAAAATGCCCTAAATAGGATTCCATATCGACCCCAACTTGTACATGCATGCAATGAAGAAAACGCATGTTACTTACTTAGGTTACTTAGGCGACCCGTTCTTCAGCACGGCGGTTGACCTTGCGCGGGTCCCAACTTCTTTTCCATTGATCTCTGTCTTGAGCCTTGCTTGTCCAGTGTATAGAGACCTTAAGAGAAATTTGATCATAGACATTGTTGCGATAGGCCAGAGAATCTGCCCATCGCAGAGGAGGGCGGCCCGGTGGTCGTTTCTTATCACGCGGGTACCATCGCATCGTCGCAGAGCTCCATCTCCCGTCATTTCTCCTCATCACGTGGCCAGCAAATCGATGTTTCGCTTCGTCGACGTGGAGTACAATGTCCTTGATCTTCGACATGGCCCTGACGTCCGAGTTGTGAAGTTGCAGTTCTCGTTGACGGCTTAACGTCAGGCCTACTAGGCGGCGCTCAATTGATGTTTGGGCACTCTTTAATCGTTTTTCGTGCGCTTTTGTGAGGGCCCAAGTTTCTCCTGCGTAGCTTAGGGCAGGCAACACTGTTGTATTAAAGAGGTCCGCACGGAGCTTCAGGTCTCTGGTGTCTTCCACGACGCTCTTTATTGAGTTGAATGCTGCCCATCCAGCTTTGCAGCGTCTCCTCAGCTCACCGGCCAAGTCATTGCTCATGTTTAGCTCACTCCCGAGGTACACGTAATTTTCGACGTCTTCGATTGGGCTCCCTTTTAAGGTTACGGTCGCACCTCCGGCGAATCGGTTCCGCATGACTTTCGTTTTGATGTGTTCATCGTCAAACCGTACTGAGTTCCTTCTTGGTCCAAACGATCCAACATCTCTGATGCTTCCTCTGGCGAGCTAGTAATAAGCACAATGTCATCGGCGAAGCGAAGGTGATTAAGAAGAGTACCGTCAATGTTCAATCCAAATCTGCTCCAATCGCAACGGCGTATAACGGATTCCAAACGAACAACACCACGGAGAATAGGATATGGTATACACCAATGCGCACACTTTCTTATTACGATCGTGGAAAAAGGGGCGGAACGTGGTAGTACAATCGGTGTAACATTCCTGCAGCACGTCGATGTAGATCTTCTCAATTCCTTGCTCTTCAAGCGATTCCCAAACCTTCATTGGCTCTACCGAATCGAAGCTCTTGTAGTCAACCAAATGATGAAGTACAAGAGGCATGTGATGCATACTTATCAGAGTTGCCTCTATTAGGCGACGACATGTTGCGATATGGTCCAGCGTGCTGAAATTTCGACGGAATCCTGCTTGTTCTATCGGTTGAGCTTCTTCTAGCGCCCTTCGCATGCGTGCCAGTATACAGCGAGTGAACACTTTGTAAAATACTGGAAGAAGCGTGATTGGCCTGTAATTCGCCAGGTCTTCCTTATCGCCTTTCTTGAACAAACAACACCGTCGATGACTGTTTCCATGCCGTTGGCACCGCACTTTCGACCAGGTAGCGAGTATATGATTTGGGCTAAGGGCTGATAAGACCGACGGTGATTCCACACGCCTGGAGTAGTTCTATTGTGATACCGTCCTTTCCGGGTGCTTTTCCTCGCGCCATCGTCTGGACTGCATGGCGTACTTCTGATGTGAGGAAAGGCAAGAACTGAAATGGATATGGTGGAATATTTAAAGTTGCTTCAATGATCAGGTCCGACTTAAAAAGATTGGTATAGAATGACGCCAGAATCCTCTCCATTTCTGGTATCGACGAACAACGAGATCCGTCCTCGGCCTTAAGACAAGGGATCATCAAGCGGTATTCAGCTAAGCTTCTCTTAGCTTTTTTGAGACTTCTCCTATTTTCTGCTTCTTCCAGAAGCCTTGACCTGGTAAAGTTTGCATGGTCTTCCGCGACTCGTCGCCTGCACATCCTGGATAGAAGCGTGTACTCCAAATGATTTCCTTGACGATCGATATTCCTCCGTTTTTCGAGCAGTGCACGAGTAGAAGACGATATACGAGCTTGAAGCGGGATCGGAATACCCGTCAGGGTAGAGTTACGCCGGAACCCCATACTGATTCCCGTGACGAAAGAACCCGAAGTGCCCAAGCTCTTGGTGGGACGGCGCTCTCCTTGAGCGACAGGAACGCCCTAGCAAGGCTATCCTGTGGGACGAAAAATGCTACGACCACTTCTTACATTAGCCTTAGTCCCCTGCAGGCTGTCACTGCTCAGTCGTGTAGCGCTGGTTCAAGCACACAGCCAAAGGCTCATAATCTCAGGTTAAGCTACACAAACAAGAGAAGGACAAGAGCGAGTCATCTGATAACCTGCACTTACAACTGCAGGAGTATCAGTTCGGCCGCTCAGCTTTCGGCACTCATTGATGAAGCTCAACGGATCAAGTATCATGTAATCGGACTCAGCGAGACAAAGAGGAAGGAATCGTTAACATGCACGTGGACAGATGGAACGGCATTATACCTAGGAGCACGCAAGCACAATGCAACTTCAGGAGGTGTTGGATTCATCGTGGCACCTGACTTCTGCAAGCATGTACGAAGTGTCAAGTTCTACGGTCACCGTTTCGCATTACTCAGCGCCAGTATCTCCAAAGATATACACGTCGCCATTATACAAGTATACGCGCCCACAGCGGATTGCGAAGAAGAAGAGCACAACGACTTCTACGATCAACTCGAAGAGCTTGTACACAGCCAAAAGAAAAACGCATGTTTGTACGAATTTCCACTCGTCGTTATCATAAAGATATCAGCTCTTTTATCGTATCACCTCACTCTCACCATTCGGAATGGAGAGAGATAGCATAGTGGCTACTAGCTAGTAGCTAGCAGCCGGTGGGGGTCGGCATGGGCCTAAGGGGCGCCCTTGGGCCTAATTGGTTAGCTTGAAGCGGAATTCTTGCGGTTTTCAACTTTCTAAAGGTAGCGCAGCTTCGCAACTCCTTTCGGATCGTCTGCACATTTGGAAGGTCATAGCTATTTTTTCGCGAAGTGCTTTAAAAGGCACTCTTTGTGTAGTTGTGTGAAAACTATTAAAGAACACCGTGGATTCGGAACCCGACATCTTCACATGAAGAAATACTTCATCACCCAAGCTTTTCCTCCCTATGCTTGACGGAAATCCTGTTTCTCAATCATGCTATCAACGGAATGCGACAAAGTGTCTTCAAATGCCTTTCCCTCCCCCTCTGCCATTCTCCGTATGAAGATTATGCTCGTGAAGTAGAAAAAGCTGCACAATCTGGATTCATTCTACTTTCCAGAATGCTCGTCAATTCGCCGCCGTTCCGCGAACGACTAGCACCTGCAATTCGGAAAAGCTTGCAAATGTTATGATTGAGGTGAGCGACCTTCACACAGGCACTTATTTCCTGGGAAAGCCCTGAGATTTTACCTTGAAAGCCTGAGATTCTAACACAGGCATCAAAGAAAATAAGAATTTGGCAGGAATGGTCAGACGATTCGTCTCAAATGTAAAGCGAGCAATCACTGCATCAACGCCAAGCCGAAACTGCCTTCAATGGAGATAAGTACGTCATTTTCCAAGCTAGAAAAACATGTTCCGGTGCCGCAGTCTGCCCAGTGGTTAATTTGAATGGCAGTCCTAGCGGAAGTAAGGCGCCGAACCCGTCGCACACACCCCCCCCCTCTCTCCCTTTCTTCAGCCCACTTGTCTCTATAGCTAGATAAGGACCAAATGGGCACAGTTGCCCTTCGAAGGAGCGGAGGGCAGGCCCACAGTCGTTCGTTGGGAATCCTCAACAGGGGGGTCGTATAATATGGCCGCCTGGGAGAGAATTGGGCGGGGGGGCGCATCTTGGGCTGTAAAAAATTTATTTTGATAGTTGATTATTCTTGCTTTCATTGGCCGTGTGTGAGGGGGGGGGGTCGTACGACTCGACTGAAAATCCTCAACCAATGATGTGCCCTGGGGGAGGGGCTGCATGATTGGTGGTTCTCGTCGACGCGGAGACACGTAAACCCTTGTGAGTCCATGAAACGGCATCGTATCGAATTTGGAACAGGACACTTGTTGGACTTGTGAAGTTTTGCCAACGTCCTAACTATGATTGCAGAAGTCCCCCCCCCTTCCAAAACTGATATGAAGCGAAACTGCTGCAGCAAGCCAAGTCAACTGGCTACGAAATACCGGCTACTTACGTGCGTCAACACAACGCGGGTTTCTCAACAGCATCAGCGCATTCCAGGTGCAAAATGTGCTGATGCGGTTGAGAGATCTAGCGATGCGTTTGTGGGGGTAATGACAGGCCGGAATCATTGCCTTTTTTTTCCAGGTATGATGTCTTCTGTGCCACTGGAGAATTCAGCTACAGTATCCACTCACGAAAATACTGTGAAGTAACGAAGAACGCTGTCACGTGTTTTGCTTTTCGATGATATTGTAGACAATCTTCAGTTCCTTTTTCTGTTAATAAATGATTTTATGAGCGCAAGCTGTTTACTGTAGCCAATAGCAAGCTAAACAAGCAACGCGCTGCTACTCAAGCAGAGTTTTAGTCCTTCGGCGAGTTTTGCACTCACAAGAAGAATCAATCTGACTGAGCAGATCGAACCATTAACGCATACCTAAAAGGTTATGCCAACTTTGAACATACAGAAACTTGCGGAAGGCACATTTCGAGAAGGCAAGACATGAGTTCGTTTTCAGTTTTAGCCGTCTTTGAGCGGGTATGTGGCAAGAGAATCGTAAATCGCCGCGCCAGTACGCGTCGCGTGCGACTTTCGTACAAACATTGACGAAGATTTTAGGTGATATTGGTGGAGAATAGACAGTAGACAGTGTATGACCAAAAATAGCCATAAGTGTCCACCAGTGTCCTTGTCTACAATGAAACCCAATCCCAATCGAAGGTAATTGCAACTTAAGGAAGCGTCGCGCCCAATGGGGCTCGCGACCAAGCGGCAATTTACGTTTCTCCTGCCCGCCTCCCCATTTGAGCTTGGTTATTCCACATTGAAGAAAGAGCAAAGAACTTGTTAGAGTAAAGTTGAAAGCCCTGTAAATATAGGCGGCAATTGTTGGCGCCTCACCCACGACAAGTGGCAATGGTAATCACGATACTGGTAGACGGTCTATAGGACCACGCAACGTCGCGTGCGTGGCAACCTACAGACACCGCAGCTTACAATAGAGCGCACGCTCGCGATAAACTTGTTGCATTGGATCTGAATGTGTTTGCTTGAAGGCAGTTGGCACGATAACTTGGTACTTGGCCTAAAATGCTAGCAGGGCGCTATATAGTGGGAAAATGGCGAAAAAAAAACGAAGTGAAACGGTCTAAAAGTCGCGCCGAAAAAACCGTTCTTCAATACACCAAAGCAATCCCGGACGAACTCCCGTAGGCATCGGGCCAATAACCGTTACGGTAAGTACGGCTTCACGTATGCACCCATAAATCCATGCAGCACCGCGGCCGTTTCATTTCAATCATTTCACTTTATATTTCTCTTCGCAATGAAGGCCATGCAGGTAGTCAGTCGTCCCATTTTGTAAGGCGGCGGGCGAATTGGCGTTTGGGTCGGTAATGCTGTAACTTGATAGGCCTTATAAGGGTGCCTTCCTAGGAAAAGGCGCTACGCAGCGCCTGCTCAGGGTCGCGGAATTCCGTCCTGCCAGCCGTATTATTCCTACTCAACTTAGGGATTTATCGTGCCAACTACCTTTGAGATTTCAGAAAACGCTTTTCACTCTGGTGAGACCCTTGTCTGACTTTTGGATCGTTTTATTTGCATAACTAGAGTGATAACACAGTAATTATAGTGCATGGAAACCTGCACAGATTCACCTGACGAGTTGATTTAGCTCACCTGCTGGTCCCCTAATCATTTGACTCTCACAATACTTTTCTGGACACCATACACTCGAACGCTGTTGTCGTATCTGATGAGGTACGACTGACCTCTCCGTTTGAAAAAGGTTGCAGCCGAGGTCACTGGGCGACAATAAGACCATCACGAGCGTAGGTCAATCGTAACCATTCAGTATTTGTGATTATGGCGCGACGCCGTGTGGTCCTACCTTCATATACCCATCGCGGCTATATTGTTACCAGACACCCAGAAAGACAAGAGACAGGAAATCGGAAAAATGCAAGTCCGCTTTCAAGTCGGTCCAAGAAGAGGGTCCAATCCACAAACTTCCACTTCGTCTTGCCATTCAGAATCCACCACGTTGTCCACCACACTATCCGTCCGTAGAATTTCAGTGTAATATAGTTCACATCAGTATTCTCCATCTAATGGAAAAGTTTTTTGAATTTCAGCTCAATTCAGTGAGGTAATTGCCAATTAGCTGGGAAGTGTACTAGTTCGCGCGTGATACCGTGACTCGGGACTAACGATATGTCCCGTTTGGGAGATGTACGCGGAATGAAGCTGAGGCCATCGACTCTGGTCGCCTGTGCTCTATGAGATCTTCTTAACGGGAGGGGATCATTGTCTTCGTGGGAAGGCGCAGACGAGCATAGAAAGCCGCGCCGCCGCGTTTCTCACTTCCAACTGTGGTAGCCCTCACATTAGCCACCCAAAATCCTTGAGATGTCGTAAGCGTGTCGCGTCCCTGAACGAAAAAAATGGCGGCTGAGCTTTTCGGAGATATTTTGGTTGGGACAGTAGCAATCACGTCTTTGTTTAACACAGAACAAGAGTACAGTTGCTTCAAATTGAGATATCCCACGGGTAACCTACTCTATTCCATGTTTGAATGCCGCGCCCACTCGGTCCCAGGGATAAGGAGTGTAGGTTATAGCCAGTCCCCATAGAATGGTAATTCTCGAAACCTGAAGAAGGCACTGCACCATAACCGCATTCTTTCGGAGAAAAAACTTCAAACCCCGCAATTTGAACATCTTCATTCGTCGCGTTTAGCATCAGCATTCTGAAAATATCAACATTACAACAGAAACAACAGAAAGAACAACAGATTACAACAGAAAGCTTAAGTAATGGAATACTCTCCCTGCGTCGACAAGAAACTTGCTCTCGCTTGGCGAGAGTCAGGGGCATTTCTCGAGGCGTCTACCATTCCAGTACTTCAAGGGAAAAGGTAAAGGAGGTAGGATCAGGGAAGAGATGAGGGGAAAGAATGAAGGATGAAGAAAAAAGGAAAGAGAAAGATGCCTCCCGGTTGACAAGTGCCCTGAGACGTGAGCACTTGCACTGGACGCCAATGCACACATTACATCGCAGTGCACGTCATTAATCCTGGCAGTCAGCCACTCACTGAGATCACGTCTTCGTGGAACCGTGCTCTTTTGTTTACATTGTCCCAGTCCATCTCTATGAAGTTCTCCGTCCTTCTAGGTTAGGGAATAGAGATAAGCAGCTCTGATGTTTTCAAGGAGAGAAGTGCCGCTATAGAAGTTGCGATAGTTATTGCGAAATCAGCGGTCGGAGCGGCGTTATCATATGAAATGTATTTTTGCATATGATCGCTGTACAATCAGCTCGCTTCTGAATGTGATTGAGCGTACAAGTCATGTGTTCTTATTCCTCTTTCGCATAAAATCGATCTCTCCTGTTTCAGTTTTTCATGACCAATTTAGGTAAAGATGTCGGCTGTGGGGGATGAACGCAGCGACAAAAGAATGGAGCTTGAAAGGAAGAAGCAGAAGTTGGCCGAAATGAGGGAAGCCAGAAGGCGAGCAGATGAAGAGAAAAAGCGCCAACTCCTCGCTTCTGTCCCTGTTGAGAATGGTAATCTTTTTTTATGGATATCATCTTCCGAAGCAATTTGCGGTTCAACAGACCGTTCAGTTGCAAATTTGCTTTCTCAACCTATTTGACCATTTTCCCCTTGTCCACTCAAAACTTTCAAACTAGCATTAGCTCAGCATTACTGCGAATTCTATTTGTCTAATTGATTTAGCTTTTTTTAGGTATCACTAAGCAAAGTCTCACTTCAACTGAAGTACAAGAGTTACTCGCCGAAGTCGGAATACCTACTGAGCCAAGGCTAGAAAAGACTCCAGAAAGAACGAATGGTTTAAACGATAGCGTATGTTTTTGTTTGAAACAGCACTGGTAGTTTTGAGGGATATGTGACAAGACAATCGTGATTCGTCGCGTTGGTGGACGGTGGTCGCGTGCGACGTCGCGCCAACGATGTCGTAGTCTGCGTAAAATCCGGTGCTCTAATATAGGCTAATACAATAGAAAAAAAGCGACGCAGCGGCAAAGTACGATTGTCTTGACCGTATCCCTGTAAATAGCACCGTTTAGGACTACCACCTTTCTCCAATGGCTTCTCAAATTATGGCCGGGTCTCGAAGCTTGCAGCTTGAGTTCTCTAATGTTCACTCTGTGGCCATCCCGACAAAAGACGCTGTGAGTTTATGATTGGATAGCCGTTTTTCTTTTTTTGAGCTCTATTGAGGTTTTTCGGGTATTGGCAGTGGTACGTTCGTCCTAAAGGATACAGACCTAGAGACAGAGACTATCTCGTAACAAGCACGCCCACGGTGCGGAAATCGGATCCTGACTCCCTGGGGCCGGGCAAGCTTTCTGCTCCTACGCCCGGGCGGAAAGTACCAGATTCGTCTGGGAGAATAAAAACACCAACCTGTTCTTCGAAAGCACCTTCCCAAAGTCTTTGTACAGGTCACATCGCATCCAATAATTCTCTATGATTCTGAATGGATTGATTACGTGCTGCCTCCTAAAAGGGAGGGTTTAGCGGCGAAGACTTTAACTTTTTATTCCTATTTTCGCCTTATAGGTAGTCCTTTTGTGCAAGGAAATTTGGGGTTGACCTGAGAGCAACCGTCATCAAAAAACTTGGGTGAAACGTAGAAGAGCGATAGCAAAAGTACTGGGAGGTGGACACGGCGGCGCAGTTAGGGTTGCTCATCCACACCATCAGAGATCTTTCTACCCCAAGCCTGAACCTTGGGAGCACAGACGACCAGATTTGCCATGACATGGCACATCCGAACATCTCTAATGCCCCAGAAGGTAATGTCGGGAAGCTACCTTGTAATGAAATGAGCTTCAATTTCAAAATGCGACCCCCTTCTGACTTCAGAGAGGGGATGCGCAGACAATTTTCAGTAAAATGAAGGTGCGGTGCTACTGACCAGGTGTGAGGAAACGAGCAACAAAAAAAATCCCAGGCCAGGAATGACCCTTCCAAAGTCTGAGATGGTCTTTTCTCTCAACGATTTCCTGTCAGCGCTACATTATCTCCATGTATTATTTTAACCACGACCTCCCTGGCACTCGTTTCCGAATGGGGCATTTGAAGGATCCTCTGGGCACTGCCGGGATTGCCAAAATGGTGTTGAGAGTTTTCTGAGCGCTGATTTGGTTAGGGAGGATGGGAACGGTAGTCACAGGGCCACGCGTCGAAGTCTTACAGCTGATTCCTCACGATCGATCGTGACGGTGTCAAAACCCGTCCGCGGCGTTCCAGTTGTTATAACGTATACTATCACTATGAATGGGAAGAGGCGGTGTCAGACGGACTCATTCCGCCCCTTGTGAACACTACCCCGACCCTCTTCCTCTACTCGACTGATTGCAACGATATCAATTATATCTTGGCCAAGGCCAGGACTAGCAGAGGTATGCGATCGGAGTTGGCGCCGCATAGCCACGCTGACACAGCAGCGCTTTTACATGATGCTCCACCGAACTATTACATCACCCACCAGTTTTGCCTAGACCTAGGGAATGCGAAAGGATGTTGCGCACAAGTGCAATATATCAGTTTTGCACAAGAACTTTTTTGGATGCTTCCTTCTTACACGACTTGTCCCGATGTTTCTTTCAGAAATATTAGTCATCTGGCTAACTACTCTACTTCCTTTTAGAGGTCCAGAACCTTTGCTGAACGCTGCGCCGGGAAAAAATTCTGTTTGTTTTCCAAACTAACTAGAGGAAAAAAGTTTTTGCAATAATCCTGTCCAATCCCTTTCTGAGATGCGGCACGCTTTCTACTTCCACTCAGAATCGTAGTGGCTGAGTGAAGGCGCTGCGGCCTGCACGGTGACTTACGAGAGCCAGCCGATGTACTAATCAGTATTCTTCCCCTCTTGGGCGGACATGACACCAATTTGCCGTCCCCGGAAGGTAGAAAGTTTGGTTCGCGAGGGCGGAAGCGCGTCTATGTTCTCAAGTGTCGGTTTACTCTAGTGACCGACCGCTTTGGTTCTGTCTATGGGCAGTTAATACGGAAATGAGTTTAAGTGGCAGCCAAATAAGTTTGTCTTTAGGCACAATACTCTAAAACCACTCAAACAGATGATGATCGCGTATCGATGGGAGAATTCAGTACAGGTAGTCAAGAATTCGACTATGACGATGATATGCTTCCAATGGATGGAGGCGGATTTAGGGGTGGGTTTTTTATCCCTGTGCAGTACCAGATAATTATTACTACTGTAGATCTGTATTGATGTGCGTGCCCCTCGTGCATTTTTTTCTTTTGTTTTTACAAATTAAGAAGTTATTTTGGCACTGTTCGGCTTGGAGGGGGGGGGCATTTTGTTAGTTGCCACTGGCATTTTGTGATGACGTGTAATTTTCTGTGAAGCTACTACAAGGTAACAGGAGCTTCCTTTACACTTGACAGGAGGTGCAGGGCCTCACGAAGTCAAGCGTGTGGTTTAACAGGAACTAGCGGAACGATCTAGTACAGAACAAAATACCCCTCCCAAACCGAACAGCGCCGTCTTCCTCGACTTTGAACTCATCAGGTTCAACTGGACGATAAAGCGTGCATAAGTATTGAATGTTTAGATCGTGTACACTCACATGATGTCGATTCTCCAATGACCGACGATTTAGGCCGGCATACTGCCAAATATTCCAGGGTTTAATTTTGCCAAACATAAGGAAGAGGTGCGTTTTCTATGAAAGATTTTTTTCTTGTGAAGAAAAGGTCGACTGGCCATTTTTAAATGTGATCTCGCAGCAGGGCACTTCCTGCCGTTGGGGAAAATTTTGCAAAATGCGCCCCTCATCCTTTCCTCTAGTATTCCCCCCCCCCCCTTTGCCTACCGCCAGTTCTATCTACCATCTCCCCATACCCTTCCAACTTCCTACGATCTCTTTTCCGGAGTTTCTTTTTTTCTCAATTACCGTCCAGGTGTAGGTACCGCTCGTGGAAAGGAAAACCGAGGACCACTAACAACCGAAAGCATTTTAGACAAATCACTTGCGACCCCTTGCCTCCAGCTTAATTAGAAAATATCCTCATAAACTCGATTTTCTACGGCAGTTTGATGACTGAATGTTTTAGCCGGAAACTGTTAAAGAGGAGCCGGCTCCTGTCCGTATACCGGACCTCAGTGAAGAGGAGAAAAACCAAATTGTAGCGAGCCAAGGATTCCAGGTAAACCCTGTTGTTTACTGTTAAGAGATTTCATTATTTGTTTGCTTTTGCGAGATTTTTTGTCTTAATCGATATATTAACAGCTTGGAAACTGACTCCTTTATTATTATTACTCTTTTGGATTGTTGGCTATTTGCTTTTTAGTGGAAGTGACTTGCGTTAAATTCATTTCTGTGACGTACATCCTCGCCTTCATATCGATTGTAACTGGTTTTCAGACCTTCTTCAACTACGCGGCCAAAGTTATTGAACGAGCCCTCGCAGAGGCTGAAAATGTAAGTAAATCATTCAATCATCTGGCGTCATGTTTTATTCTGTAGATTCCCTGAAGGGACCTATATTTTCTAATTTACTTTTTTTTCTCAGGTAGATATATTCATTGATTATGCACGAGATGGTCATGGCGAAGTAATTGCATCGAGCGACCGACTTGTGCTGTCAAGAGTGTTTTCCGATCCAAAATGGTCTCAGAACAGGTGAGGGCGGAAAGTAAATCGATATAATTATGTACGTTGCGAGCACTTGAATGGGAAGAAGTTCATGCAGTCCTAATGTGTTTCATTGCTACATGCTCAGCTATTACTTGTAGACAGTAATTGGAGATCGGAAATTGTCCAAATTGTTCGATTTGTAATCTTGTTTTTACCCAGGAAATGATCTTCCTGCTGAACAACACACCAATATTTTTCGAAAATCAAGCAAATATCAGTTCGCGCTTGTTTTGTTCGAGGTTCCTTATCATAATTTCCCTACCGTAAAGGGATAGTGATGTAGTGCGTTTCACATATTGCAGAGCTTTAATTTGAGTCGTGATAGGAAAGTACTTGAAGACATTCCCGCGCTCAATCAGTTCGTAGGTGTCTTCCTTTGTTCAAGAAGTCTGGTCCGCACTCTCTAAGATTGTCCCACTTTCGCGGCTCCGAAGTTAATAACGGAAGCGCTGCGGCCTTAATAATTGGCAGTTGACGTCTTTCTAAAGTCCCGCCCACGAAAACTCAAAGGCTATTTTCTGTCACGAGTTCAGTTTTACAGCGCTTTTTCCTATTTTTGGATGACGCGAAGAAACGACTAGTGGGCTAGAGGCAGCGAGTTATCGCTTGGTGGCATAAAACGAGCAGGTCTGGAGAGCTTACTTGGAGTGTAATGGCCGGACAGACTCTTTGGACGAGTTCTCCGGACCTGCTCCTGCTCGTTTCTGCTTTTTTCTTCACTAGAGAGCCGTTTAGGTACTGCAGGTTTGTAAATGAACGCCCCTCTCTACATTACGCTATCGCGAGGTTTGTCTTTACCTTCTCGTACACTGGGGCCGGTAGTGGACGCTTTGTTCCCGGTTAATTGGCGCTACATGGACTTTAAAATTACCCGGTTCTAACAGCCGTCTGAAAAATATTCATTTATTTGGGCGCTAATAACCTTGGAAGGGAGGGGTCTTAGTGCAAAGCCAGAATTACTGTTGAGGAGGTGAGGACATCTCATCGCAACCCCCCTACTATGTTATCAGCGCTCTAATGCGCTAGATGTGACAGGGATCGAGCTTCAAGTGGGTAAATCAATTAGAAAGACGGTAATTCTATTTGAATTATGTCTATGCTGTGTCCGAGGAACACTTTAACTGCTTTCTCCCAAAGTAATCAACACATTTATCTGTTTATCGATTCTTTCCGAAAAGTACTAGAGTTGGTAATCGGAATGCATTACACTAGAATACAGTAATTAAAAGTTTTTTGCAAAAAGTTCCTAGAATTAGTGACATTT